AACCACTGCGCCACCAGGGAAGCCCGCTGACAGGGATTTTAATGGCACATTCTACTCATTTTAGCCGGCCTGTCAGTGCAGGCCTTGTGAAATTGCCATGGAAATTAAGAGAAAGCAGACTTCAATTTGAGAAGGGTGTTCAGATGCATTTTTATAGCTCAGAAGCAAACCAGTACAGATAATCTGATGGGGGGCTGCCTAGAATATTTAGCTCCATCCTGGCATTTGGCAAGGATGAGGCTGGAGGGTCCGGTTTCAAAGTAGGAGGTGCTGTCCCATTCCATCGGAGTGTTACTGTGTTGAGGCCCCTGCTGGGCTGGGGAAGAGTAAAGAAAACTCTCCAAACCCTCAGATATTACTTTTGTTCTCAACCCACAAGGTAATCTTGGGAGGTGTTATTTCATTTCTAAGAATCGTGTCACCTGTTTGTGCAAAGCATGCCGTACATGCCAGCCTCACCTCCCTGGGGAGGAGACAGGACAGCCAAGCCTCTCCATGGGGTTAGGAAACCTCTTCATGGGTCCTTGTGAAAGGCAGAGGTGACTGACATCCAAGCAGGCCGATTAAAGGGGAAATGAGTCAGAGGTAACAGTCAAGGCCACCCCCAGTGGTTTTGTAAAATGGGGTGAGGCACATCCGTGCCATAATGGTCCCGTTGTGTGCTCACATCAGGGCCGGATGTTTACTAGGTGTCTTGTCAGGTCCTGTAGCCTCAAGCCCCCCAGACCTGCCTTCACGTCCCACCTCCCCTGCTCCTGTGACCTGGGATATATCTCTGAACTTCGTGTACTCCACACATTGAAAGGACAGAATTGGCCCCTGAGCCAACTGGACCAAAGGGCTGCTTGAATTGTATAAATGCAAATGGCTCCAGTCTCCTTGGGGGACAGACGACCCAGAGTACCCCCTTAACTCCACTGTGTGGACGAGCTCTGAAAGCCAGAGAGTGCTGTCTGAGTGTAGAATTTTCTCCGCTCCACCTCAGCATTTCACAATGTGGATTCTCTTCTTAACAAGGGGTCCTAAATGTTACCAGCGCCAACGCAGTGTCTACCAGCCAGGAAGCAAAAGCCGCTTTCAAAAATAAGTCACACTGGGGTGAGTGAGGACAATCAAACCGGACTGTTCCCCTACGTCCCTCGACACAATAGTTTGTGTAACGGCACCGGAGTCCACATTGTTCCAAATCATCTATCTCATCAACTGAGGCTACGTGAGTGAATTCCTTGAGGGAAGGTAATCCCTGTACCAGAAGCCAGGGAAATCATCCTTGGGGTGTACTTTTTTTTCTCCTGAGAACAGTTCCTTTCACGATTATGTTATCTACTAGGAATCTATTATACGATCCAGATTTTCCTCTCAAGCCATCATTAATCATATGGTGAAAATGGAGCTAGAATTGAAAATACAAGTTGTTTTCTTCGACGCTGAAGTCAATGCCTGGCAATTGTCAAGCTCAAGAATTAGAAAGCATCAGTGCCTGACATTTGCCTTCTTCAAAATACTGCTATGGAGTCACTTACGACCCTTCTACTAAGGATTATGAAGCTCTCTTTCTCCGTCTTCTTTCTTTAAAATAACTGTGTAGGGGCTTCCCTGGTGGCGCAGTGGTTGGGAGTCCGCCTGCCGATGCAGGGGACACGGGTTCGTGCCCCGGTCCGGGAAGGTCCCACATGCCGCGGAGCGGCTGGGCCCGTGAGCCATGGCTGCTGAGCCTGCACGTCTGGAGCCTGTGCTCCGCAACGGGAGAGGCCACAGCAGTGAGGCCCGCGTACCGCAAAAAAAAAAAAAAAAAACTGTGTAGGAGTTTTTAATATTATTCTAATCCCAGTGCCAGGCTTTGCTACAGCATTCTCTGTTGAGTGTGGTTTGCAGCACCATGTTCTGGGAGAAAACGGCTTTCCTAGAGTTTACTGGAGTGGCCCAGTGTCTTCGCGATGGAAAGAAGCCTGAACTAGGAATCCGACGGCTGGATGGCGGACCTTGCTGGCTCCGACCTTGAGCGAATCACTCCAGCCCTCAGGCTCCTTTGTCCTTCACTGCACACTTCACTGTGGTCATTACAATGAGCTCAGCACATAAAGTTGAATTTAAAAACAAAAACCAAAAACCAAAAGACTATTGACTTGATACAGACAGAAAAACAGAATATGGTCAGAGAAGTAAGAGCATAAGCTCCTGCCCCAAAGTTTGGTCACACTTGGCATCACGCTGGGCATCACACAGAGGCGACACGAAATATAAAACTACCACCAAGAGAAAAGGGGAATGCTTGCCAGCTCGGCAGCATCTGTGGGCACCAAGCCTGGAGAAGGAGCACAGCTTCCCTATGGCCGTGGGGACCCTGGCACCCTGATGCCCTGCCCCAGGCGCTGCCCGGTACCCAAGCGTCGGAAACCACCACCCAGCCCCCGGCCTAGCTCCCAGCTCAGGCTCGGGCAAGCCCTTCACACGCGGCTTCCTTTCTACTCAGTGAGAAGGTGGACGAATATCCCACACCCTCGAGGTATGCGGCAGTGATAAACCATCTAAATTCTGAACTGCGAGGGTACCAAGAACAGAAGAAACGATGGGGCTGCACGGGAGAAGGGGCACAGAGAGGGAAGTGGACACAGGCACTGGGGTGGAGAAAGAGGCCAGGAGGAAGCTAGACAGAGAAGTCAGGCCTCGTTGGTTGAGAAACCAAACACCTGGACACACCAGACTGACGGTGCCTGACTTCCTCTCCAGCCCTAGCCATCTCTGACTCACAGGCAGGTCCCGGGGGGCCCACTTTCTACTCCTCCCCGCTTGAGCCCACACAGGTTACTGCAGGGCAGGTGTTTATCCGGCAGCCATCTGGGCGGGGCTTCCTAGGAGGCCACCGGCCATGGACGGTAGTGGCTCCTCCCTCATTAATTAAGAGGCCATCACTGTTGACAATCAGTGTGACCAGTTCTAACACGTAGAGAACAGAGGGTGGGCAAGCCGCACACCTGACCAGGAAATGATATTCTTCACCTGCCAGCCCCAGGTGAACACCTGCAGGGTTGGATTTCAAACCAAGATTCTGCCATGGTTTTCAAACATGTGCATTTCTGCATTTCAAGCCTTCACCTGCGAGGATACCCACCCAAGCGTTTTCGGCATCATGACCACGTTTCTAAGGCCACACGTAACACGTGGACAGAAACCTGCCCACGTGGCCCACAGGTCTGCCGCCGTTTGTCTATAGAGACACATCAGGTCAAAACCTCACGACACCCTCCTGGTCGCTCAGTGCATTGTTTCGGTAAAATCTTTGTTCAAGTGGAGAAGGAAAAGGCTGGAATCTTATGTTGAAATTTCAAGAGGCTCAACCAAATGGGCCCAACCCTGAGCCTCTCACAGAATTTCTTTGTTAACGAAACAGGCTGGCACACTCTGAAAATGTTGAGTCTCAGATAACAATGCTATGGTATCAGCCACTGAGGAGGTTTGGGATCTGTTCCCATTTGTGCAAACAGACAAAAAATCATCCCACAACCAGCTCGGCTCAAAGGTCCCAGGGACCAGTCAATCAAGGTTCTAAAATCATGGCTCCAAGGAATTCCAGGGTGCCCACGTCAACCGTCTCAACTGCTTCACGTCAAGAGAGCAGGAAGCAAAATGAAGGCAATAAGGGACAGAAAGATGAAAAGTAAACACGTGAGTCTTGGTGGGTCTTCTTCAAAAAGGAAGAAGGATTGAATCTAGATTGAAGTTGAGAGCTCTAAACAACCCCAATATTCCAGGATATTCCGGGGGTACCTGAGTCACTTTGTTCCAAATTCCTCATAGATTTTCAAATTGTTTTAAATGATTCATTAGAAACTGAGGACCACTGTTTCTGGGTGATGTGTAGCACGTCCTCTCCCAGTCACCCCCGCCTCAAAGATGGATACATGGAGGGTGCACGGGGCAGCGGGGGACACGGAGTGAGTTCCACGGGAAGAAGTCGGTCAGGCTCGAGAAAAAAATACCAAACCAGGGAGGCATTAACTCCACACACTTTGAAAACCTAGAGCTGGCAAAGGAGCATCCACGTTGCTGAGAAAACTCAGAATACCGTCAGTCATCAGTTCCCATTAACATGCAACAGGCTGGCGGCAAACTCCTGTGTGCGCGGCTCTCCCGAGACCTCTGAGTCCCACCCGCTCCGTCATCTCTTCTGTTTTTATGGATAGCCCACCAACGCCCCCCATGAGACAGTCCTTTCAAGATCTGTAAACATACATGTCTGGTTTCCAGAGAGGTTACTATAGGTCACTGGTTACTTTTCAACACTTCAAGCTTGGGAGGAAACACCTGGCTTCCACTTTGCTCTGAAACATTAAAAAAAAAAGAGTCCTATCTCGAAAGACTAACATTAACGGCATCCAGTAAAGAGGACCCTCCGAGTGCAGACAGGAAACTGGCACACACGGACCCTGGTCAAACTGTGTGATCATATCAGAGCTTAAGAAGCAGTGTGTGACTCAAAGACGTAGAAAACTTATGGTTACCAAAGGGGAAAGGAGGGGCAGATAAATTAGGAGTTTGGGATTAACAGATACACACTACTATATATAAAATGGATAAACAGCAAGGACCTACTGTATGGCACAGGGAACTATATTCAATATCTTGTAATAACCTATAATGGAAAAGAATCTGGAAAAGTGCATATATATATATATATATACGTATATATATATGTGTGTATATATATATATGTATCACTGAATCACTTTGCTGTACACCTGAAACTAACACAACGTTGTAAATCAACTATACTTCAGTCAAAAAAAACAACAACAAACGCTGTGAATCTTGAGTCATCTAATCTGATCTGTTCATATCATAAGTGAGGAAAAATCTGGCATAAAGCAATTACATACATTGGCCACAGCAGAGCCAGAGTCTGGAAAGAGAATCAGCCTCCCAGCTTCCAGACCCAGATCTTCCCAAACAACCTGTTCCTTCCTCCAAGGTGCCTGCGCCTCTGGATGCCCCCGCCCTACCTTTCCTCCTCCACCAGGGACCTTCTGGGACCGAGTAGGAAAGGTCCTTGAATTCGATGTTCACAGCCGCCCTCCGCGGCAGGGAAGAGAGGTGCTGGGCCTCTGTGAGACTGTTCTCCTCTTTCTTCAAGTGTCCGTTCAGCAGCTCCATCTCTATGACCTCCCTGCTGCTGGAGACCACCTCGTCCACAGAGACGCACACTGACTTGGGCTCTGTCATTGCTGCAGGGTAACTGCTACCATTCTAGAAAGATGGGGAGGAAAAGCACCAAGAGGAGGCGTAAGTTACACCACGGGAAGGACCACAGGGACTCACCATTAGGCTCAGGGCCATCGATCAGTCAGAGTCATTGATCAATGCTTCTCACCCTCCATGGTGCCCTCAGCGTCACAGGAAGGATGCTCGCCTAGACGAATTCCTCCTCCCCGGCCCTCACTTATTCTTCTACTAAAAACATGCTAAAGATAAACTATGATCTACCGTCTTATTTAGGAATCCTAACATCTAATCACAAAGCTGATAAACACATCACCTGTCTCAAAGAATGAAACACCAGCCACCCTAAAAATTATCTGCCTGCAGTCCACTCACTAAAAAATCCCATAAAAATGCATGAGGCTGCTAAGAAATGCACAACTGAAAAAGCTTTACAATGAGCTCTTTTAGTCCCTTCCTGGCGTAACCTCATAAACATTTCTCAAGAGCAGTGATACCACTTGGACCGACGGGGTTTGTAGGAGATGGCCTTTGTGTTTCCCTTGTAAATCTTCCAAATCCCTTACAGCTCTCCTCTCTCACTGTACCTTCATAATGGCACTGAAGTGTTCGAAAGGTTGATTTGTTTTTCTCTGGGATACAGACAAGGAAACTGAGGCACAGACTATTTTAAGGAACTTGCTCTGAGCTCTACGATCAAGTGAGGGGCAGAGGTGATCCCAGTATGAGTCATCCTGAAAAAACGATTGCCTCTTCCACTGCATCACCTGGATACCTAGTACATAGCTACACTGGCTTTTCAAGCTTCCATTGGGAGTCCTTTGAACTGTTACAGATAAGCCAAGAACCAAAGGTCTTTAAGCAAAGAAAGGAATATTCTTTCTAATGGCTTGGCAACGGCTGGACAAGTCAATATGCTTTAGGCACCTCCAAAACACAGAAGAACCCTGGGATGGATGAATAATGCGCTGTGCTTTTTCTAGCTGCCTCTTGAATCAAGACAGAACATTCCACAGTGCCCAAAGCGTGGCCTCTGGCGACACTCCTCCGTACTGTTGCAGGCAGTCAGCCTGATCTGGAGAGCCCGTGGACAGCCACCTTTGATAATTCAGGCCCTTCTGATGGCCGTAGGACTGGGGAGACGCTGCCATACTGCTGTTTGTTCTAAATAACATCCTACTGTTATTTTTCCACAGCTCGTGAGGTATTTCTTTAAAGTTGATGGCTTTTTGATCGTTATTGTTCCTAACAAAAGGCTAAAACAAAACCAGAGAGTGCATCATCCATAAACACCCTTATAAACTCCAGCAACTCTAGTGACCGAAACAAGCCCTCCCCCGCCTTAGAGTGGCCTCTTGAGGGTACGTGACCGCATCCTTGAAGAGGATTTCCATTATTATTATTCCACATTATTTCCATCGTGGAAATCTTGGACGATTTGGAGGTTCTGAATCTTTAAAACACAAATAGGGGGATGGGGAGATGTGGGCACAGGGGTTTCTGGTTCTTGTGCTGTTTGAAAATGTTGCTTTGCTGTTTAAGAAAAAGACACACAACACACACACCTCCCAGGCATCTCCTACCTCTGGAAAGCTTAACCGCATCAAAACTTAGCTCACTGACTATAACATTCTGTGGCTAAAAATTAAAGTGCGGAGTAAAACTCTGACAAAATTAATCTTGGTTTGCCGCTGGCACCGAGCATGAGAAATGCTTCAAACACAAGCAGGAGTACGTTCGTGCATCCTCCGCATAACTGGGGAGGTTTGTCTTAGCCTGACAACGGGCCTCCTCAGAGCCTGGGCTGAGAACGAGCCTCTCCGGCTCCCGGGAGGGCGCTGCAGGGCGTGGCCTCTGCATCCGGGCTTGTCAGGTGCCTTCTGCGTCGGCGCCCCTTGAAGGAACAACAGGAGGCCCTGCCCCAGCTCAGCAGGCTCTTGGCTTCGTGCACCTGCAGCTCCAGCGCCCAGAGCAGCACCAAATGCCATCCCTGGGTCCACCTGTCTTGCTCTTGGGGAACACGAGCTGCTGTCCCAGGGTTATAACCCCGTTTGACTCCACAGGGGCCCTGGAAACACCAAATCCTGGCTTTGCTGGGGGGTGGGGGGTGGGTAGTGGACAGAACAATGGGTGAGACAGTTAGCTCCAGGCCTGGTCCCCAAAGTCCATCCTCACCCCCACCTGGAAAGGTGAGACGTCTACTTCCAGACCCGCGTCCTGCCGGGGCACTGGCCCTAACGCCGGGAGAGCCAATTGCTCTGTCTTCAGTTGGGGGCGGGAGCTTCCAGAAGCCCCTCCCCAGGGCGTGGCCCCCTCCACCTCCAGCCACCTTGGAACATCCACACCCTCCCCCAGCACCCACCACTCGCGTCAACCCCTGAGGAAGCCCAGGGACAGGTCGGGTCTTCCCTTTCTAATGAAACCTACACGAATACAGGGACGAACGGCCATGACTCCACCCACCTGCCAGCCGGAGCAGATGCCAGGCCTGGATTATGATGAGGGTCTGACTTGCCCGTCTAGACCCCAAGCCTGTCTATCCTCTCACTCACTCACTCACGGCCCAGATAAAGCCCTGGGCATCAGCAGTCAGCCAGACAGACGTGGCCTGTGGCCTCAGCTCGCTCAAGTCCAAGACTGGGCCGCAAAAAATTTCAGTGCCAAGGGGCAAGAGCTAGAACAAGACGATGCAGGGACCCACGAGGGTCACGCAACGCAGTGGGGGCCCTGGGTGGGGATACCCGGTGTTTCTGAGGAAATAAACTGTGAGGTGAGATTAGCGAGGTGGGGTGGGGAAGGGGTGCTCGTTCACGACCGACATTCCCTGCGAGGGAACAGCACGTGCAAAGGCTCGGCAGCAAGACAGCGGAACAGCTGGAGATCTGAAATTCAGGGGCTGGAGTTCTGATCTGGGGCGGGGGGGAGGGGCTTTTGGAACAAGGTGGGACTAGCGAGGCACCCGGGGTCCGCACGGTGGAGGGCTTGCAAAGCTTGTTAAGGGATGTGCACTTTATCAGGAGGTCTCTGCGGACCGCGGAGGCATCTCAAGGCGGAAGTAGCAGACCAGCGAGCCGGTGAGAACGTCTCCTGCAGCCGCCTGCAGTGGGAAGGGTGCGTGGCCTTCACCAGCGGGGGGGCAGTGGGGAGGGAGACAAGTGGACGGGCCAGTGGGACAAAGCTGGGGGAGTAAACTGATTTGGGAGCGAGAGAGTGAAGCCAGAGGCCCGTACTTACTATTCACAGTTTTGCATTAATACCTCCCGCGGAGTAGGTAAGCAATTATGAACAGTAGCGACTATTCGTGCAGCAATGCACAATTACAGTGCGCTCATTAAACTCCAGACTGCACGGGTTACTCCTCCTCTGTCTCCACAGCTCTCCGGGGGCCGGGGCCGGGTGGGGTATGACCCTCTGCCGTTCCATTTCACGAGGAGACCACCTCACCTGCCTGAGACCCCACCGTTAAGGAGTAGCCAAACTGGGGTCCAGCTCTCTGCAGCTTCCCTGCCTGCACGGGTCCTCCCAAACAGTCCCCAGCAGCGCCGGGACGTTGCTTGGCTTTCTGTAGGCAAGCTGTAGTGGACCCTGGGTCATCCCAGCCCCCGTCCCTTGCAGGGAAATCCACAAGAGAATGGGGGACCACACAACCCTACCCCCAAAGCAACCGACACCAAAGCGGTGCATGCCATCACCCACTTTTCCGCTATGGGTGTCCAATTAATAAAATTCTGAAATCCTATCTGATGGGTGGCAGTGGCTGTCACTCCAAAATAGACCAGCTCTCTGGAAACACATCCTCAGATGAGAGCCGCCGGTGATGTAGGTTACAGCTAGCTTGTCCTTAGCCTCCTGAGTTCATTAAAGATGAAACAAATACATCCTCCCTCCCCATTCTTTCCCTTTCTTTGTTCGCTTCCCTATCTCGCTGAAGCATTGTCTTTGACCTCCTCTTCCACACACAATTTGTGCTGCATAATAAATGGTAAATACCAGTGAGTCCATTCACAGGTGTGGAATGCAGAGGAGACCCTATTTGGACTGTTCCTGCCCGCTGTTGTTAGGAATATTTTCTTGGGCACTGATTTCAGTTTGAACGCTAATATATTGAGATGCTTGTTTAGCTGGGGAGGGTCTCTAATGGTCAGAGAGCCCCTGAGCCACTGTGAGGCTGCTTCACTCTCTTTACCCAGGGAAGTCCAGTTGGAGATAGAAACTTGCCCCACAGCATCTTGGGGAAGGGAGGAAAGCCAAGAGGAACTCGCAGGCTCCAGGCGTGCACTCTCACTGCTGCCAGCTATGGTGCCCACCTAGACCAGCAGACCCTGCAGTTGAAGGGCAGATCCCTCCCTGGGACCCTGGGCACATTAGAGGAGAACGTACTGGTCCAGAATCCTCAAGACCACCGCCTAAGGGAAAAGAACCCAAATGTCACGCCCTTAACTAAGCAAAGGGTAGGTGTCACTGGCATGGTCACTCAGAATGCCAACCTCATTGTCTCCAAAATCTGGCTTCCAACAGCCCCAAATACCAGTCCCCATTGGGAGCCCTTGCCTGCCCCACCCAGCCCAGCTCAGGGACTCTGAAACACCATGTGGGTGCTTCTTCCATCCTCCAAGGCACCTTCTCCAGACTCACACCTGGCAGCCAGCCCCGGGCTGGACCGCAGAGCAAAGTTTAGGATCCTGGGTATCTCCCAAGGGCTCTGTTTATGACTTGGGTAGAATTTTTAAAATTAAAAACAAAAAAACACAAGGTTTTCAGGGAGAATGGTTTTCACACAAAACAACATTCTCTGAAAAAATGAGCTCAGCCATTATCACCTCCACACGAACGAAACACCTGAGTTCTGGGGCTGTCTCCAACCATAACGTAACATCCAAAATATCTTGACATAAAAACACCTGTACCTTAAAACATTCTGATTCATTATTGTCCCACATGTATGAGCTACTTTTGCAGTCTTGAAAGGGCTTCAAGAGTTAGTTACCCAGTATCTCCACGACCTGAAACTTTCTTTACCTGCAACTAACAATACTAACCTCCTTCATTTTCCATTACCACCATCATTTAGGAATCCCAAAGAAATGAACACGGGTAAAATGAAGAATGGCCAAGTGTTACCCAAACATGCAACCAGATAAAAGCAAATGTCATGAGGAGGGGACTGCCTCTTTCATTTTTTGATCCCTCTTATATGTAAGAAGCTAAGTCATAGAGGCAGAACATGCCCAGAGATGGGACCCGGCCTGTGCGTCCCCCTGCCCCTGGCTCTTTCCTGCTCTACCAACCTCCTTAATGTGTCCGAGGCCCCATTGTATCGGTTTACACAAAATCATTATATAACGAGCTGCCGAGGCTCGGTATGTTCTACAGTAACCTGTTTGGAATCATAGGATGCAGTTGTCAGAGCAGAGCATGCGCAGAAACCCGGCTACTTCTTCTTTTTTTTTTTTTTCTTGAGCTCAAGGCAAGAGGTAACTGTCGGTCAAATCCTGCTGAGCCCTGCTGACTTCAAATACGGGATGCTAAAAATGAAATAAAGGCGAGGGGTGGAGGTGAAAACCGATGTGCACGGTGGGGTTACAGCTCAAGGGAAGTGACTAGCAGGATAGTAAATACATAGACAAAGGATAGAAGGGGGATGGATAGGGAGGGCGAGAGGGCTTGGAATACGGAATGCTTTCTACTTGTACTTTAGATGACCTGAAATCGGTCCAGAGGTACCTAACTGCACTGTCGGCGTGCTAGGCATAGAAATGAAGGGCCCCAGGATGGGTGAGACGATGGTTAGTTTGTTTTTTTTCCCTAATGTGACTTTATGGAGATATGTTAAAGGGGCAAGAGGAGACTCTTGACCACTCAGAGGAATAGCACTTACTGTAATAGTGTCTAGCAAAGAATGCGCCTGCAGCCGGTGGTACCCCTACGGAGCTGGCACCCTTGGGAAAAGTGAGATGCGTGCCTCTGTCCCCACCCTATTCTCTCTACAGGGTGCAGAAATGTGGCCAGAGGTACCCAGGCTCGGCCCTCATCTGCCTCCCCGTGACTCCGCCGCCCCCTCCTGAGCAGGTCCAGGAGAGGCTGTCCCCGAGGGCGAAGGGGCAGCACGGGCTCCGGCTCTCCACCGCCTCTCTCTTTTGTTCCCCCAGACAGTGCCGGTGCTCCGGAGAGTAGCGCGAGAGGCGCCCGCTCCCCAGGCTCTGGCCGCACGCGCCGGCAGAGGGATGGGGCCCCCTTTCCCTCTGGCCCGGGCTGCCGCCCCGCCCCAGTACACTCCGGGTCCCCAGGCCCCAGGCCCCTCACCCAGAGGCAGACGAGGTCAAGGCCATCAGTACACTTGTGGGGCTGCTGGCCTCCTTCCTCCCTGCCTCTCCTGGCCCCTCCGCCTTCCCTGCATCCTCGGCTGCAAGGGGCATCCCGAGGAGCCAGGTAGCTAGGGCGGGGGGCGATGGGAGGCGGGCGCCTCTCCCGGGGCTCGGGGGACAGGTGTCAGGGTGCGGGTGCGGGTCTTTGTGCTTTTCTTATTCTCCTAGAGAACAGAACCAAGCCCCGGGGCCAAAGGATGCGCTCACTCACCATGGCGGTGCCGACCGAGAAAGCGGCCGTCAGACAGGCCATGCCCCGGGGGCGGCGGCGGCGGGGACGAGGCTGCGGGCGGCGGGGACGGGCGGCGGGCAAGAGGCTGCGCTCGCCCTAGGCTCGGCGGCTGCGCCGGGCGCGGACTCTGGCTCCGGCTCCGGCTCCGGCCGCAGCTGGGGCCCCGGCCCCGCCCACGACCCGCCCGCGCCGGCCCCGCCCGCGACCCGCGATTGGCCGGCGCGCAGGGGCGGGGCGGAGCCGGCAGGTGCGCGTGCTCTTGTTTTGCTCCTGTGCGGCGCGGCTGCCCCAGTTCTAGGCAGTCCGTCTCCTCGCGCTGACCGCTCCCCTGCCGAGGGTCCGCCCCGGCCCCGGAGGCGCCGAGTTCGGAAACTCGCGGGGCCTGGGCCAGCGACCCCAGGCCCCCTGCGGTCAGTCAGCGGGGGTCCCCCTCCAGGACTGCCACCTCAAAGCCTGCAGTGCCGGGCCAGGGAGGGCCAGGGGAGGCGTCTGGCGGGGGAGGGTGGAGGGGCACTTTTTTCCTTGTTGGGCATCTCTCTGCCACGTAGGAGCGTGAGAACTAAAGGAGAGATGGCCGCTCCAACGACCCCTCCCCCGCCACTGCAGCTCCGTATCTGGGGTGGTACCCCCGTACTGAGGAAGTACACTCACTCATTAATGCAGCATTGCTGTGTGCCAGACGCAGAGCCAAGTGCTGGGTAACAAAGGGGTGACTAGGTGAAGATGCCCAGGCCTCTGTCCTCCCCTGGCTCCCACCCCCCGATCCCAACAAATAAAAGACCCGCTGTTCCCAGTACGTGGCCAAGCACCTGGCCCAGAGCTGTGTTCAGGTAACTTCATAAGGGGTAACACTTCAGGCACCCTGTCTTTTGGCCCCAGATGGGAGCATCAGATGGCCTGGCCTCTGCTAAAGCCCTTATTATATATAAGTGGGACCATTTCCCGGTAACCATGGTGATAAGACATTCCTTACTCCCAGTCTCAGAGGCTAATGCTTTTATTCAGTGGTTTGCATGTGGGGACCACAGGTCGGAATGCATCTCTTCTCCCATCCAGCACACCTGGATCGCCCCTTCCCACTACCCCTCAGATGAGCTAAGCCCCTGTCCTTCTCCTCACCTAGAAAGAGAGCATGGCTTTTCATGCCAGGCAGGAGGGCTTCACACCACAGCCTGATGACCACAGGCAGATTCTCCCCTCAAATCAAAGGAGGGCAAGGCAGTAAATTGTATGATTTCAAGGGGAGAGGGCCCTGCTTTTGTCTGCATAGTTCACTTGAAGAGTCCACGCATTACCTCTATTCTATTGTTAGGAAATCTGACTGCTGCATTTCCAGGTGCCACCCTCTACATGCCGGGCCCACGGGGCTGTGTGGTGCCTTAAACGTGCTGAACAGGGAGGCCAACAAACTCTGAATGTTCTGGAAAGAGGATTCAAATCCACAAACCTCCCTGGGAGAGTTTAGGCCAAAAGGCAGAGACAGAGGTGCCTCATCTCTGGGACCCAGGATTGATGGCCGGCACTGAAGCCCACCACTTGCTCCAGGGGCAGATGGGACATAAAGCAGGGGAGAAAGACACAGAACGCGGCCGGGGAGAGATTCTCTATGAGAACCTGGCTGGTCACTGCCCAGCTGTGTGGCTGGGACAAGTGACAGTGTGGTCCTGTTGCACTGGCGTCTATTCTCTGCCCAATATCCATTCTCCATGCTGCTAGGAATGTGTTCAGAATTTCCTTCTGGAACTCCCCTTGCCCCCAGTTCTACACCATGTGATCTGGTCAGTGGTTGGTCAGGAACCAGAAGTGTAAGGCGATGCTCGCCGGGCTCCTGGGAATGGCCAGGGGGACAATACGTAGAGCCTAGGATGAAGCCAGAGAGGGCAGACAGTGATAAAGTGGGTCTTTATTGCCGTGGCTTGAGCTGCTGGCTTTGCACTTACAGGCATGGAAAGAGTCCCACTTATACACATCTATACATTGGGGTAATAATCATCTCAGCCGCATGGGAAATAGTGCCTGTCAAAGTGCTGTCCACTGTGCATGGCACATAGCTAGCACTCCAGTTCTAATCCTTACTAATGTCATCCCCCTTGCCCCAAATCTGAGAATAAGCAAATGGTAAAGCAGGTCGGATCTGTGACATTGCTATTGGGACTTTTGGTTGTAAGTGACCAAAACTCTGCTCCAAATGGCTAACGGGAAGGCTCAGGGTGCACTTGTTTCAGGCCTGCCAGGACCAAGCACCCATTCTGGGTTTTCAGCCCTTGATCTCTAGCTCTCTCCATGGCTCTACCTTCTTCTATCTGCTGGCTTTTTGCTCCGTGAGGCTGTCACCACGGCCCTCCTGGTAGCTCCAAGCCTGCACCCCATCAGTGTTACCAAACCAAATTCAGGTCCACTCGCCTGCCACACAGCAAAGCCAATCTACTGACCCTGGGTTGTGGTGAAGGAAAGTACAGCATTAATTGCAGGACATCAAGTGAGGGAAGGGGAGACAAGCCTCAGAGCCACTCCCACCTGGTCTTCGGGTTGGGGGATGTGTTTAAGGGGAAGAACAAAGTAGCTGGGGTGAATCTTTGTCTTGTGACATTTCTGAATCATGGTTTCGCGAGTCAGGGTGTCCCAGGTGGTCCCCGGCTCAGGGGTCTGTGAGCTCACCTTGCCCTGGAGAAACGACCCGAGTTTGTACGTTAATGATGAATCTATAATAGCAATTTTAGTACATGAACGACGGACAGCAGCAACCTTAAGCATCCGACTCTGGTGATCAGTGTTGTTAGCACAGGCTTGAGGCCAGAGGGGACAGAAACGGGATGAAGTTTTGGATGAGAGATGAATCCTAAACTTGGTAAAGGAACTTGGTTTTAGGGGACTGGGTTTCATCAGCTGGCAACCAGCCACGATGCCCAGTGAGGGGGAACCAAACTCTGACTGGCCTGGTTTGAATCCCAGGGAACCAAACAGGCCAAAGGGAATGCCGGCCCTAATGGAAACATGCAGAAAGATTGGGACATGGGTGCTTCCTCAAGGCCATTTTGGGGAACACAGAGCCCAGTGTGGGTGCCAGGGAGGCAAACATAAAAGGAGCTCATCATAGGACTGCCCAGTCCACACCCCGAGCCCAACAGGAATTTCCACAGGACATCACAGGCAGGTGGACCAGGCTGGGCTTGAGAATGTCCAGTGGGAAAACACTTTCTGCCTCAAAGGGCAGCCCGTACCAGTTGAAGTAGTTGTCATTGCAGGGAACGGTCCCTGTGCCTAATGGGACTCCCTGTCGCCCCGAGGGCTCTGTGTTCCACCGCGTCAGTGAGCCCCGCCCCCGCACAACAGGACTTGAGCTCTTCAATCATGGCGCCATATTTCTCTCCAGGCCTTAGCTTCCCTGGACAAATCATGCCTGGTCCCTCCGACATTGTTCTGTAGAGGATGCCCCTTCTTCCTGCTCACCTTTCTCTCTGTGAGTTCCATTTTCTCAGTGTCCCCTCTGAAGCTTGGGGTCCACAACCGAACACCTACTCCAGGTAACTCCTCCACTCTCTAATGAGCATTTGCTCCCTCGAATTGTTGGTAAGGACCCGCTACCATGCTGCAGAGCCAACTGCCTGATGTCCTGGGAGCAAGCAGGTCAGTGGACTCAATCAGCAGCCAACTCAATTCACTTTCCTCGTAATTGTGCAGTTTCAGTTGCCTGGTTTGCACTTTATCCCCCAAACCCCATGTTAAGGAGTGTCCAATCTATTTATGCCAGACATACAGCCCCTGAGGCTGGGAAATGGAGGGGACACCCTGAGGACTTCGTCTCTGGTGCGAGGATTCCGCTCTTGGTGCCTGGGGAGGGGGGGCGGGTACAGGTAAATCAGATATCCAGGTGGCCTTGCGGCAGGCCTGTGGATTGACCCAGGTGTACTTCTGCAGGGAGCTGGCCACAGGGGGTGAGTGTGGCTTGGCATCTTGGATGGCCCCAGCGCTGGAGGTCCAGAACAAAAGGTCTCTGATCCCTCCAGAGGAACTTTTGGGCACATCCCATGGCTTCCCAGCCTCCCCGCTCTCAGCTGGCTAGGAAGAAATCTAATGAACACAGTCTTCTTCACATCTGGGTGATCTGCCTTTCGATAATTTGACCTTGAGTTCTGAATTAACCTTAGTGACCAACCTAGGTGGACTCTGCTCGGCCGACTTTCTTCCGTTTGACTGCAGAGCTCCACCAACCTGAGCTCTGTTTTCTTTCCAAGACCTACGATTTCAGCCATGCCCTTCAGCAGACAGAAATATGTGCTTCACTGGGATCCGGCCTCAATGCTGGGAACCCAGTGTGGACGAGAGGGGGGAAACCAGGCCTCGGGTGTGGTCAGACAGTAACGGGGAGAGATTGGAAAGCTGACATTCTTGTCTAAACTGGGTATGCTTTTAACTTGTTCCACGAGCTCAATGTATTTTGTAAATAGTTAGAGGCACTCTCACTGTGTAGTTTAAGGGAGACCCTGCCAGAGGTAAACTGGTACCACAGGGGCCTCTTGGTCTATCTCAGTCCAGCCCTTTTGGAGTCAGCCTTTCAGGTGTCCCACCCTAGAGACTTGATATCTGCAGTTGCATCCCGCCAAACTGCCTCATCCCCAATGCTATGCCCCCTTGTAATCTGGGCATCACATAATTAATTTACTATTGGTTGTGCTTACTGCCCACCACACCCCTTGAGAATGTAAGCTCCACGCCGGAAGGAATGTCCATCCACTGATGGATCTCCAGCGCCAAGAACGGTGCCTGGTAAGGGATTTTGTCCCGGCTCATCAGCTATTTGGTCGATACCTCCCACCCCCATCCCTCTGGGTCCCCCAGCCCGGCTGTTTCCAGTGTGCATGAAGCCCCCAGTGTGGAAAGTGCCTGCCCTGCAGTGTTCCACCAGGGGAACATCTCTGGTACCCCACCATTTCCCAGAGGAAAATAAAAACCCACAGAAGCCTGATCCCCCTGCCCCGTCCCCAGCTCCTCTCACCACGTCGACCCCTGCACTGCGGCAATATGAGGGTTTATGGGATTTCTTTCCCCAAAGCCTCACCAAACTTGATTCTGGAGGCGTGGTGTAGGGGAGTGTTTGCTTGA